GTTTCATTTGAGATTATTTTCAATTTTGCATTATCAAAATTACTTCAAAATCACTTTAACTTTAACCTTAAAAAGGTAATTCTATAAAATGACATCATAAAATTAACTTTAATTATATTACAGTAAAATTATGTTTGTATTTTTCTTTTTTAATAATTATCTATTATACTGAATAATTTGTTATAATAATAATGAATTTTCTTATAACAAAGGTCTGATCAGCCTAAATGCTAACTTCATAAGATTAAAGTATAATGTATATTGCAACCAATTATACAAATATATATACATTATGATAAAAATTTTTTGAAATAAACATAGGCTCTTATTTATGTAAAAGAAATTCAATATAATAATAATAATAATAATAATAAAAACAATAATAATATTAGTAATATTAAGAATAATATTACCATCTATTTTAACTTTTTTGTCCTTTTCATCTTATTTATTTTTTTCTATTTTTAATTCTACTTTTTTTTCTTTATATATAAACCTATAAATTTTACATGTGACAATTTATTTGTTAAAATATAGTATTCTTATTAAATTATCTGAAAATATATTATTTTATTTTCCTAAAAAAGAAGAATATAAAACTATAATTATTCTATTTAAAGTTTTTTAAGTAGTAATATCATTAAAAAAACTGTACAAAATGAAAAAAAAATTAAATAACTTTTTTTCATAAAAAATATCATTTTAAATAATAAATTTTACAAAATTTTATTATTATTAAAAATTATTTCAATAATATTAATAAAGGTAATACAAATAAACTGCTTTATTAATATTATTTATGTTCTATACAGATTGGATTAAATCAGATTTAGTCAAATCTGATTTGATCCAAATTTGAAAAATTAATTTAATTTGATTTGAATCTGATAAATCTGAATTTAATCTAAATTTGCATCTAATAGATAAGTCAAATTCAAATTTAAATTTAACAAATCTGAAACTAAATCTAAATCTAAATCAATAAATCAAAAAAAAATTTTTTAAATATACTAATTTAACCACCTTTGAATTTTATTATTAAAAACAAAATTTTTATTATTTTTAACAAAAAACTACATCTAATATTTGAAATGATATTTAATTGTTAAAAAATAACAATTTTGTTATTATATTAATAAAAATTAGCCTTTGATATTCAAAATAGCATTTAATTGTTAACTTATTAATAAAAATTTACCTTTAATATTTGGATAAACTTATTATTAAAAAATTTTATTTTTTAAAATAATAAATACTGCTTCTAATATTTATGACAAAATTATTATTATAACTTTATTTTTTTAATAATAAATGTCATTTTTAATATTCAAGATGAACTTATTATTAAAAAATAAAGTTTTTTATTTTTAATAATAAGTCTATTTTGAATGTTAGAAATATTATTTATTATTAAATAAACTTTATTTTTTAATAATAAATACTTCCTCTGATATTTGGAATAGGTTTTATCATTAAAACTTTATTTTTTTTAATAATAAACAGATTTAATTATAAATTTTATCTCTAATTTTGAAACAGATTTTTTATTTTAAATCTGACAAATTAAATCTGAATTCAACTTTGAAGATAAATTGAATCTGAATTAATCTATATTTATTAGATTAAATCAAATTCAAAACTGAATCTGATTTAAATTTAATAGATTAAATTAATTCAAATTCAGATCTGAATCTGATTTGAATTTGATAAATCTGATTCAATCCAATCTGTTAGATCTGGATCAAATTTGGATTGAATTTGATTTTTGCAGAACACTAATATTAATACTTTTAATATTATTAATTTTTTAATAAACATAATATAAATAGCAAAAATAAAGATACAAATATAAATGAAAATATTGTAACCCAAATGATCTTCAAAGAAATAGAAAATTATAATACAGTAAACATGATCTGCAATATGATTAACATGTAGATCACAACTTGATTTACAAGAATTTATAATATAATGATCTGCATAGATGATTTATAAAATTAGTCAAATCAATTAATAAAGAGATGAAATAATAGATCATTAACCCATAATAACACATGTAACCTTCTAAACTAAAAACTTTAAAAGGGAACTTCAAGGAGAAACTAGTCAAAGGCTAAGAAGTATTAGGAAGTAATAATAATTAAAGAACAATATAATTATATTCTTATATCTTTTTAAATACAAATATATTATAATTATAAAACTATTGCATAACGATTAAGTAGTTATTACTCAATTATTACAGCAAAATTATATAGAAAGATGAAAGAATTATTACATAGTTAAATTTACTAAAATTAATTTTATTTAAACAAAACTAATTTTTAGTAGTTTAGTATAGCAAGTTTAAAATTCATATTTTTATGCTTGATTTTTATTAATAACTTATTGTTTAAAAACCATTTTGGATGCAAAATATATTGGTTAAAAAGAAGATAAAAATATTTAATCAAAAGATAATTAATCAAATTCATCTATAAAATTTAACTAAATTCTTAATTTAAATTATAATATCTTATTAATATACTGCAAATGGTTTTTATAAGAATATCAGTATTCTAAAATAAGTTGCAAATGTAAATTTTAAAATATAAACCTTTTTTTAGAAAATTAAAATTAATTTTTTGCAAATATCTCACATAATATATAAAAATTTAATTTAATCAATATATTTTTATTTTATAGTTTATAATAAGCTTTATGAAATAAAAAATGTCATTCAAATTGAATTAACTGATTCATAAAAAATTCATAAAAAAATGTAAAAATGTTTTTAAGAAAATTGTATCAATTTTGAATAAATTTTTAAAAATAATTTATATCAAAAATATTCAGAATTCTATAATTTTATAGAAATTTTAATAAAATATAAATTTTATCAAAAATGTTTTTCTAGTAATATGAGATTTAGACATCTTAATATAGGTAGATTATAATATAATTTGGTTCAAATTGATTTAATCGCTAAAATCATATTCTTATTTTTTATGATTATTTCAATAATCACTCATTTAATTTAATATTTTTTATTTTATAAAGCTTATTTATTAATGATATAAAATAAAAAAAGTTTAATAATAGTGAAATTATTACAATAAACTGATATATAACTTTCTAAAAATGTGAAAATCTGCTAAAAGTTGCATTGTATGTAAAAATTAGTATATTTTATTATGTAGATTAATTAAAGCTTAAAAAAAATAGCATTTTTTTTGTAAAAAGTTGCCATAGTATATATTATCTATTAATGATTAGATTTTACATAAAATTAAAAATAAATTGTTTAATTTATATATATATTTATTTATTACTTTATATGATAAAATAGAAAAATGATCCATAATATGTATTGAACATTTTCGGTTTTTAATTTTAATTAGAAACTAATTAAAAAATTTATGAAAAAATCAAACGAAATAAAAAATCTACCATTTACAATTGGTATAGTAAATGTTCTGTCGATCGGTAAATAAGATCAACTTTATATTTTTTGTGCAACCAACACCTGGGAAAAAAATAGTGGGGGATCATGCTGGCTGACCACCAAAAAGATTATCTTGCTTTTTACCCCATAAAAATGATATACGAATATGGAACTTTTTCTACATAATATGAATAAATAAATAAATAAAAAAATAAATTCTTAAAAATTTTGCTTTCTTTACATGATTTCATAATAAAAAGCAAAATATATTTAATACTCTGGGCGTAAATTTTATATATTTTGGCCAAAAATTATGTGCAATCTATTAATATACTGACAAAAAAAGTAATTTTTTTTTCATTTAATAAAATTATTCTGCAAGATTGCATTTCATGTGAATTAATAATGTCTTTGATCATTCGAAATCAAGCAATCGTATTTTCCTAATATATCATGAAATAAAGAGCTGAACGAATTCTTTAGAAGAAATGTGCGTCAATGCTTTTTTGTTTTCAAAAACCGGTTGCATTAAGATTAAGCCTATATTTTTTTTTTAAAAAAAAATATACAATTCGCTAAATTTGGCTTTTTTAAAAAAAAAATTATGCAAAGTGAACGTTATTTCCTCAATTCATTATCCTATAGTAAAAGGTAAGCCTGAAAGTAACAAACATCTCTTTCAGAAAAAAAAATTTTCTGCAATAAACTGGTTTATGGCGTTAGTTGCAGGAGTTTCTAATATTTCGAATTTTTAAAAGGAAAAGGAAAAATAAAATAAATAAAGATTCGATTCAGCATACCAATAAAATAGGCTTGCTTTAATAAAGGAAATTGTACCAATTAATAAAATTGCTAAAATTATCGTCTTTTGTAATGGCTTTTTTTCATTTTTTTTAAAAAAAAGCAGCTATGAATTCTTTTGGGAAAAAAGATGTACTTAAAAATATAAAAATTTCAGAACGAATTAAATTTGGTAAGTGCGAGGAATGTCGTCAAATAAATACTGGCCAGAAATGGTGTCAAACATGTTGCCCTAAATACTTTCAAGAAAATTTCACGAATTGGACTAGTGGAAATAAAGTCATCGATAATTTTATCCAAAATATTCAGTTGTCAGCAAAAGATAAAAGCAAAGTAATCGAATGGATATCCTATGATAAATTTAAAGATATTGAATATATTGCCAGAGGAGGATTTGGCACAGTGTATAAAGCCAAATGGATAGATGGGAACATTGGACATTGGGATATCGATAAACAACAATGGAAAAGATGTATAAAGGATCAAGACGTAGCTTTAAAATATTTGAGAAATTCACAGATTATTCGAGAAGAATTATTTCAGGAGGTAGTTATTCTTTATACAATGGCACTATGATTATTTAATTTTTTGACATATATTTATTATATATGTAATATATTTATAGATTCTATCACATAATATCTTAAGCAGCGATGTATTAGCGTCGAGCGTCATTAAATGCTATGGAATTAGCCAGGATCCAATAACAAAAAATTATATTTTGGTGATGCAATATGCGCATGGAACTTTAAGACAATATTTGAACAAAAATACTATGACATGGGACGATATCTTATTTCATTTGAAAGCAATTGCAGCAGGACTTGAAACGATTCACGAAAAAAAACTGATTCACAGGGATTTACATATTGGCAACATTTTATACTGTTGGACTGGTTCAACAATTACCGATTTAGGCTTATGTGGACCGATTGATAAATCGAACCATGACAAGAGCAATATTTATGGAGTATTACCTTATATTGCTCCAGAAATTTTAAATGGCCAGGATTATACGAGCTCAAGTGACATTTATTCATTTGGAATGATTGCATACGAAATAATCTCGGGATCACCACCATTTCCCGATATATCTCATGACGAAATTTTGGCCATAAAAATTTGCCAAGGGCTTAGACCAAAGTTCAAAATTAAAGTGCCACAACTTCTTATAGATTTAATTAAAAAATGCTTGGATGCAAATCCGTTAATTCGACCAACTGCTACAGAATTACTTGAATCATTAAAACAATGGTATTTGGATAAACGTTATAATAACGTTACGGAATTTTATAAACAAGTACATGAAGCAGAAGAATTTTTAAGGTCGAATACGCCATTAAACACCTCTCTATCATATAAAACAAGTTCACCAACTATATATACAAGTATTGACTATCTAAATCTTCCTGTACCAAAAAATGCTGATGATTATTATTCTCAAAATAATTTATCAAGTATGAATTATTCGGGGCAGATCAATATCATGGTAATATTAACTTATTATAAATATATAGTAGCTGATAATTGAATGCATATTAACATAACATTTCCATTTAAATACAGCAATATATAGAAAATTATAAGAACAAAAGTTGAAAACTAGAAATCTCTTAATTCCTATTTTTAATCTTATATTTGAATAAAAGCAATAATGTAAATGAAAATATTGATCTTTTGATATTAAATATAGAATTACTTTTTATGCATATATTTATATAAAAAAATTATACTTAAATTGGCAGATATCTTTAAAATTTCTTTTGTTTGCTTATTATTTTATACTATTTTGTAAAACTTTTATTATAAACTAATAAAATAACAAAATAAAATTTATAATTAAATTAATATAATATTTATTTATACATTTTTTCTTCAAAATATTTAAATTATCAATTAGTTATAACAATTATAATTAATTATATTTAATATTAAATTTAAGTAAAAAATATAATTATAAGTTTAGAAATTGTTTTTATCTTATAGTTAAAAGATACTACAAATCAATCATATGGGAGATTTGCTAGAAAAATAGAACTCTAAGAATTTTTTATTAAAATTTTAATGTTTATTGTATTTAATTTTTGATTATATTAGATTAAAATGCAATAAAAATTAAAATTTAATGAAAAATACTCAAAGTTTCATTTTCTAGCTAATCTTCCATATGATTTCATAGATTAATTTGAGTAATTATTATATTAAAATTAAATTTAATTTTAAAAGTCTTTATCTTTATAATTTAATTTATTTAGAAAATTAATTTACTTTTAATATGTTTATTTCTATTTTTATTATAATATATATAAATGTATAGCCTTAATAATATTTATATATTGTTGTTATTAGTAAAAAATTAACAGATCAATATATTTTGAAAATATTTATATTTTATTATTAATATTTTATAATAAAAAATATTATATTTAAAAGGCAAAATTAGTGAATATATAAGCATCATATAATTTTAAAATCTGATTAGTAAGTTTGAAACTAAATTTTAGTATGAAAATATCTACATATTATTTTATTTATAAATTTAATCTATTATAAGATAATTAAATTATATATAAATAACTAACTTAATAAGAAATTCGCCTACTATTAAGATAGGTCACTCTTAAATTTAAGATAAAATTTATATATAAATTTCTTTAATGATTTTATTAAAAAGAAAATTTTATGTTATTATGATTTTTTTCTTTTTAATTAATTAACCAATAGAATTTAAGAAAATAATAAAATAAAATTATATATAAAAGTTAATTTTAATTGATGACTTATATTAATAATAGACAAGTTTCTTAATATCTTATATTTAATTAGAAATAATGATTTTCAAATAAAATTCAGCTAAATTCAGTTATATTCAATTCTGTTAAGGATTTTATTTCAAAATATAAATGGTTTAATTTTAACAAACTATTTTCAGATATTTTTGCTATTAACTAAGCTAATTTTAATATTTAATTAAACTAGATTCAGTAAGTATAAATTGTAGAATTATAGTTTCAGATAGTAATACTAAGTTTTACTAAGATTTATTAAAAGAAAATTGAATAATTTTTACATATTACATAACATTAATATAACCAAATTATTAAATTTTAAACTTTTATTAATAAAAAAATCTTTAAAAATATGAGCAAACATAAAAATGAAAAGTATGAATTTTTCTTAAATATTTTCATGAATCCTTAAAATTAATATTATATAATTTTATTTTTTTATAAAAATTGATTTGTTAATTAGAATTTTTATCATTCAATCAATAAAATCAAATTTAAATTATATTATACAATCCTGAATAAATAGTATCAAAAAAGGATTATATTATATAAAATCTAATAATAAAGGTTTTTATTTATTAAATAATAAGAAAATTTATAAAATCAATAACACAAAATTCTAAAAATTAATATTTATATAATAAAAATCTAAGTTATATATAGAGTTTGCTATTTATTACTAGTATTAAATCTACTAATAGTAATTAAAGTTTTTCATTATTTCATATGATCGGTAACATTTAAGAAAGGTGAAACAAATATTTATGGTAGTGAAAAAAAATTCTAAGTTTTTAAAAAATATAGTAAAATAGAAATAAAGAGGTGTAACATAAAGTGATAAATAATATATACAAATTAAATATTAGAATTCCTCAAAATTGAATTGAATCAAATATTTAAACAATTTGAATTTGATTTGATTTTTTCAAATTAAATCAAATCAAATCAAATAGAACTCAAATATTTGATTGAATCAAATTAAATCAATTTGAGTTTATCGAATCAAATCAAATTAAATCAAATTAAATCAAATATTTGATCAAATTGAATCAAATTGAATTAAATCAAATATAAAAAAGCTTTTAAATTTTTATATTGATATATTAAAATAAAGTTATTCTAATGTTTTAATTAAGAAAATTATTAGTAATTGCACTAAAAAGTTTCAAAGATAGCTTTTACTAAGTAAGTTTAGTAACAGTTGAATTTTTACTATTAAAAACTTAGTAAAACAAACTTTGTGACTTTGATTTTACTAAAAAAAACTTAGTAAAATAACTCTGTAGTCCCAGTTTTACTAAAAAAAAAAACTTAGTAATAACTGCCATTATGGCTTCAGTTTTACTAAGAAAACTTAATAATATTAGTAAAAAAATGTTTCTAAAGCTGCGAATACATTTTTTTTACTAGGTTTCTTAATAAAAAATATTTCTAAAGTTGCGGATACATTTTTTTACTAGGTTTCTTAATAAAAAATGTATCCAAAGTCACAAAAATATATTTTGCTATATTTTCTAATAAAATAACGTTTCTAAAGTTGTAGAGACTTTTTTACTATATTTTCTTAATAAAATAATGTCTCTAAAGTCGCGAAGGTATTTTTACTATGTTTTCTTAGTAAAATAATGTCTCTGAAGTTGCAAAGACTTTTTACTATGTTTTCTTAGTAAAATAACATCTTTAAAGATATGAAGGCATTTTTTACTATGTTTTTTAGTAAAATAGCATCTCTGAAGTCGCGAAAGTATTTTTTACTATATTTTTCTTAATAAAAAAGGTATTTTCAAAGATGCAGAGATGTTTTTTGTTATGATTTTCTTAGTAAAAAAAGTATTTCTGAAGCTACAAAGACGTTTTTTACTAGTAAAAACTACACTTGAAGCTTTAGAGATAGTTTTACTATTGATTCAAATCAAATTAAATATTTAAATACTTGATTGAATTTGATTGAATTGAATCAAACATTAATTTGGATTTGATTAAATAGGAGCTTTGCAATAGAAAGGAAGGAAATTCTAAAAAAATTTTTTTTAAGTTAATGTTAAATCTGAATTTATTTTACAAAAAAAATCATAATTAGCTTAAAAAGTAAAATTTCAATTTTTTAGAGTTTTCTTCCTTTCTATTGCAAAACTTCCAAATAAATCATTCTTTGATTTGAATTTGATCAAATTAAATCAAATATAAATTTGATTTTAATTTCAAATCGAATATTCAAATATCAAATTGAATTACAGAATCCTACTTTCTATCATTCCTTTAGAATGATACATAATCATTCTATCAGAATAATTTTTTTATCATTTCTTTAGAATAATGCATTATTATTCTATCAGAATAATTCTTTTCATTATTCTACTAGAATAATTTTTTTTATCATTTTTTTAGAATAATACATAATCGTTTTATCAGAATAATTCTTCTATCATTTCTTTAGAATGATGCATTATTGTTCTATCAGAATAATTTTATAATTTTTCCTTTAGAACTATTTTTTATTATTCAATTAGAACGAATTATTTAATGTACTTTTATTTGCTAAATATCGAATCAAGTTGAGGTTTAAAAAATTTTTTTGACTTAATTTAACTTAACTTAATTTTTTTGAGTTGAATTAAATTTGATAAAAACTCACTCAATTCAACTTATTTGAAACTCTATGTTTAGATATTTAGCTAAATCAAAAATGAGTTTAAACAAGCAACCTTAGCCATGATAAAACTATTTAATCATAATAAAATATTTAATTATAGTTTAGTCAATATAATAACTAATAAAATATTTAGATTTTGAAAATAATTTAGTTAGGTATCATTAATTATGCCTAAATCCTGCAGTTATTAGAATATATTAATGTAATAAAATTAGAATTTAACAGAAATTTAATATTTACTAATAGATCTATAATATATATATTTTATATTTCATATTTAAGGACTTTATATAAATAAGAAAATAATTAATCAAAATTTAGTAGATAAGATTTATAATATTAATAGATTGTATTATATGTTATAGTATTATCTAAATTGAACTATTATTAGAATTAGAAATCAGGTTCTATTCTTACAAAGTTAACTTATTAAGTAGAATAACCTTTGATTACTAATTTGATAATATATTGAATATAAAACAAATTATAAATTAGTAAAATATAGAAATAATGATTTTATAAGCTGAAATGAATTCTTTATTCATTTTTTTATAATTATTTAGAGGTATAGACTATTTAATTATATGCTTTAAAAGGATTGTTTAAGATTTATTTTTAGATAACAACTATTAAGAATAGTGTTAATAATTAGTTGACTTATAAGCTCTAATATCAAATAAGAAGATCTTAAATAAGGTTGAAATAGTTGATCATAATTAGTTAATAATCAGTCAGAAGCTTTTAACTGACTGATCAGTTAACTGATTAGTTTTACTGATTAATTGATTAACTAACCTATTTAATAATAATATAATTTAAAGTTCTTAATTAATGATTTTAAATTATGCTTTTAAATAATATTATACAACATTTGCTAAAACTTCTAATTTTATATATATTTTACTTATTTCTTTTAGGCTATCTTAATATATATATTAAGTTTATTTTCATATTTTGTGATATAATATTATCATGAAAAATTTTTAAAATTTTTTATTAATTAAAATTTTTATTTATAAAAAATTACATTACTAAAATGATTTTTAATTAAATATAATTAATTTTGAGATTACTAATTAAAAAATATTTGGTAAACTAATCAGTCAAAATTAATCAAAATTAGTTTTAGGTAATTTAATCTTAAATAAAGTAGCTTATTTATAAAAATAGTTCTTATACAATTATTTGACTATATATCATAATAAAAAAAATAAAAGTAAACATTTTATCAGATTTTCATATTTATAAATTATTATAATATTTTAAATATATTAATTAACATTTTTAATAAAAAGTAATAAAAAATATATAATTAACTCTTAATATAATAAACTTTAAGACCTTTACCTCAAATTAATTATAAGATTATAATAATTTTTTTAAAGAATTTAATTTATAAAGAAATATATTTAATATGTTTAATTAGTTAAATATTATAATTTTTATACTAAGAGGTGATTATATTAAGAATTGATTTTTTTAAGATGCTCTAACTCTTTAAAAAGTGAAGTTTACTTAATATCATCAATAATTGTGTGACTAGATGAATTAGATGATCTTAGATATTTTTCTATTTTTTAAGTTATTTATCATATTAGGCTAATCTCTTCAATATATCAACATAAAGTATGACATCTTAATTGGTAACTCAAACTACTTGCTGTAATCTAAATTAGGTACCTAACATCAAGAGTACTGTCAAAATTAAATAAAGAAATAATCTCAATCATAGTAAATATTATTATTATTTTTATTAACAATCTAGTGAACTATTGTTAAAATCTAATTACTTAGTTTAGCTTGATTACAACTATATAAAAAGCTACAGGATTCATAAGATAATACTACAAAAATTATACAAATAATGATCTTTAGTTATATACAGTCATACCTCTCTATAGCGAATTTTTATATAACAAATTTTTTGGACAACTATATTAAATTTACCCTCGTTATAACGAACTAGCCAATCAAATTCTTTAAAAAATTCACTATAGCTCTATAGCGAAGTTGAAGTTTAGGACATAAAATTTGTTATATCAAGGGTTGACTGTATAAAGATAGTACAGTAATTAAGAAGTTGTAACTCAGTAAATTGCAACTTGAATTGCAACTAGTTGCAATTCCTTGCAAAATTTATTTTAATATAAAAATTCATAAATAGTTATAACTATTTAAAATTTTTTGAATTAATTACAGTTTCATCTTTAATTGCATATATTATTATATCAATCAGGTAACTTTGAAATCCAGATCATTAATAATTCAAAAATTGAACTTAATTTCTAATTTTAGTAATAGTTTAATTGGTTAGTACTGAGGTATATAATACAGCTTAATTATTATTAGAGCCTATTCTACTAAATTTTAGTTTTTCATTTTCTTACTTGTATAAAGATCCCTACAATGTAAGATATGAAATTGTATCTATCTATTTATTATAAACCAATCAGTAAAGGTTAAATTTTAATGATCTTTGCATTTTCATATTTTAACTTTTGCAATATTTAGACATAATTATCATTGATTAACAGATCAATTAACCAGATTTATATGTATATTACTACATATACTATCAATTCAGCCATAATGAAATTCTTATAAAAATTATGTTTTAGCTAAAGATAGGAACTGTAATTTATTGCAACTTTTAATGTTACAACTTACGTTGCAATTAGTTTTAACCTATATATGTTGCAACTAATTTTAGCTTATATTGCAACATTTTGTAAATTTGAAATCAATTGCTGTATCATCTTTAGTTTTAGCTAAGATATAAACTGATGGTCTATAACTTTATAATAAAACCTTTTATTATAGAAGACTCACAGTTTATCTATTGAGTTAAATTATTAAGGATTAACTTTTAAAAAATTAATATTATTACAATATAATATTAAATGTTTATTTTTAGAATTATGATAATTGGTAAAATAATTACTTTATTATCTTATATAATAGACATTATAAATTTATAGTATAAATATATAATTTTATTATTTTATAGAAAAATTCAATATATTAAAGCAAATGCTAAAAGTATATAAATAGTGTTTAATATTATAATTATAGTTTTATTAAAATAAATAATAAAAAATAAAATAAAATATTTTATATTTAAAAGTAATAAGTAAATATTATAATTTATATTATATTATTATATTTTTTTATAAATATAAAATTCTTATTTTTTATAATAAAATTGCTTATATAATTTATTTAATTATTTTTAACAGTTTATCAAATTAAATTTGATTTAAATAATGATAATTATATCAATGCTATTAAATAATACAAAGTTTAATATAATTTTTAAATTAAAATTTAATAAAAGCTAAATAATTAAAACTAATTATTGATAAAATATATATATAATTAAAAAAAGTTAATATGTTAGTAATTTTATAATTATTAGAAAAGAAATAAAATTTTATATAATATATTATAAAAATTTTGATTATTTTAAAGTAAAATAAAATTTATATAAATTTAAAAGAATATATGGAAAAGTTACTAGTAAAATCAGATTCAAAGAATTGTTTAATTTTTATTATTGATGATTTTAAATTAAGAGCTAAATTTTATTCAAAAAATTTTAAAACCTGATTTCCTAGAAACATACTATATTTAGATCAATTATTTGATTTAATACTGAATTGTTATATGATTTATAATATGTAGTATATATTTTTTTAAAGGCTAATAATAATTTGTTTATATTTTATTCCTAAATTTGTTAATATTATAATAAAATACAGCTTTTATTTAAAAAATTTGTGCTAATTATTATATATGATTTTAACTGGATATTTTTGATAAGATAGCATGTAAATGTAATAATTTTATTATGCAATAATTTTTATTTAGTTTAATGTTAATGGGTTAATCTCTAGGAAATCGATAGTTATTAACAAATAATTATTACAAAAACTTTCTTTATATTTCACATTATATAATCTTCATTATTTGTATTAATAAAGTAATATCATTTTCTTATTCGTTATCATCACATCATATCTCTTTGCCAGATGTTTAAACGGATAAGCCTCCAAAAATCGTATCTCATTGCACAAATGCAATTAATATCGAATAATCACATTTTCATTTAGAATCTAAAACTAAAATTGATTCCAAAGAAGCCGTAAGTTAGTAGAAGATTGAAAATGAAGATCTGATACATTATCTCAGATATTATTTGCTTTTAAATAACAGAAATCCGAATCCAAAGTCTGTAATTATATTTGTTATTGTTCAGCTGTTTTGTTCCTATTCAAAATAAAGAGAATGAACTAAAAAAAATTTTTTTATGGTCAGTCATATCTATATATATATTTTACGAAATACCTTTTGTCAGGAAATATTTTTTTGCTCCGAAATTAAAATATAAGGTTCCAGACCTTTTCTTAAAAAACAATCTCTAAAATGGCCACTACATTGTTTAGGAGATCTAGTTTCAACAAAGTCTGAAACCTTTCGCCAATTTTTACCATATAAACCAATAGCTTTAACTAATCTCATAGTTTCATTAACTTGCCAGAAACCGTTATTATAATACGGGTCGACCAAAGAACCGGATCTAACATGTTCCTTAATCGAAAGTGATAACCGATGAGGTAACAATTTTTGAATCATTTTCCAATCTTTACCATATTTTAAGATAGAATCTCTAATTAACTCATTTTCCTTATCAGTCCAATTTGGAAATTTCGCAGCATTTAATAAAACCATATTATAATGTTTTATAATTGTGGAAACAGGTCTATTCATTTCATCTGCAATTTTTTGCCAATAATTTCCACCATATTTTTTTAATAGATCACATAATAAATTATCCTCCTCCTCTGTAAAATTTCCACGTTTTGTATAATTAATAAAATTATATCTCCTAAATACTTGCAAATCTTCTTTATTTGGTAACATCCTTGAAATTTTTCTCCAATGACCTTTACCATATTTTTCAATCCCTTTTATTAATAGATCATCCTCTTCCGGTGTCCATCTTGATGTAATTGTTTTATGACTATTTTCATATTTAACCTTTTCTCTATACCATTTACATTTTATTGAATGTAATGTTCTATAATTAAAATAATGTCTATTAATAAATTTCCAACGATTTCCATGAATTTTGGATGCCATAAGCAAAAGTTTTGTTTCTTCTTCAGTCCATTCCTTTAATTCGATTTGATTCTTATACATTGATGCTATTCTTGCAGTTTTTTCTTTTAATTCTTCAACTGACAACTTTTTTTCTGTTGAAGATTTCATTTGTTTGAATAATGATGGTTTAGTTGCTTGTATAACTGAAGATTTCGAATTGGCATTAGAAGTGTTGAACGATTCATCTTCATCTTTATTAATGGAAAGTTTCTGTGTTTGATGAATTATCGTAGAAACACTTGAATTGAGTCGAATGTTGTACTTTACAAAACATTCTAAAAGAGAGTTGATGTTAAATTTGTAAAAATTGCGACCTATTTTTAACCCATTTAAAGTTGTTTCGTTTTGTGCTGTATGAACAAAAACTTGTCGAGCAAACATAATTTCAATGGTTTAATTATAATGTGAGAGAAGTTATATTGTTACCAACGTCGATCGTGTAACGTTGATCGATTTTAAGCCAACCAATACATGCATAGCAAAAATAATGGAGAATTGATTATCTACCGGTACCTCAATAAGGAATTTCCTTTTATGAGAAGAAACGAAATTGAACTCAATCATCATTTCTATACATTTTGGTCTATAAGTAAAGTATATATTAAGTATATATTGAATAATAGAATATCTTATCATTTTATTTGACCCTTCATTTTTTATGAAGTAAATACATTATATTGATAATTTGTCATAGGGTAAAGGAATCAAGTAAAGTTCTGTAAAAGGATTTAAAAAGGATACATGGTATGATTATAATTCATTTATTTCATATAATATAATATCATTTATTTTTTAAAAAAAAAGAAAACTTGGCAGAAAATATATATTATATATATTTTTTTGAGAGAGAGAGATGGATTTATTGATATATAAAAATCTATAAGTATTTAACTGATAACCTTTTTTTCCTGAATCAAAAAAACAAAGATTTTTCATTTGTTTACTACTTTTATCATGATGTTAATGATAGTAATTCAAAGACTGTTTAATTATTAAACCACCTTATTAAATCAAAATATACATAAATATTCTAAATGTGTCCTTTATAGATTGAAATAAAAATCTGTTTTCAATAATTGATTTTGATATTGAATAATATCATTCTAGTAATTGTTAATAGTATAATTTATATATCAATAAAATAAATAAGGATAATTTTATTAAATAATAACATGAAGAATAAAATTATTAAATAAATGAATAGATAGATGAATAGATGAAAAGTTGTATATTGTTTTATTCACATGTATTCATATAACATAAATTTAAAAGTCCAAAAATATACAGTCACACCTCGATATAACGAAGTTGCCGCTCCAGCCGATCAGGACTTCGTTATAAGAATCTTTGTTATAGCGTTAACGAATTATTCGTTATAGTAGATGATTACTGATTTCATTACACAAATATAA